TAAAGACCATGCAAGAAAAGGGCTGGAAAGTGAATTTCAGCAGCATTGATTATTATAAAAGCAATGTGTCCCTTTAAGGTTTTGACACACAAAGTTTATATACATAAACAGTTGAGAGAATCAATTCAGAAAAATTCTGTTTTCTACCTAGGTGTGATTGATTACTCTCCCCAAATGGCCTGTGAACACTAGCTGTGTGTGTATGATTGCTAAACAATCATTGTATTATGAAGTCATTTCTGGAAAACAGTCACTCTGGTTTGTTGGTGGTGGTCCTGGATGGCCTGTTTTTCATCAAAGAAACAAACTTAATTTCCTGCAGTAGTTGCCTACTGTTCGGGCACATTTCTGTACGTAGATCTCCTTGACATTTTAATTAATGATTAAAAAACAAGCACATGGCCATGTGAATATACTTAATGGCACTGAACTGTACACCTCAAATGGTGAAATAGTAAATTTATGTATATTTTGCCACCACCCCCGCAGCAAATCTTCCTATGGAATAGTTGACAAATTAATAGAGGTTTAGAGCTGGAAATTCCTCAGTTCATATCTCAGTGTCAACCCTACAAGTGTCGAGGTTGACTAGGAGAAGTGTGACATTCTAGCACCAGCCGATTTCTTTCTGGTCTTTTCTGTCTTGCAGATAACGATCTAGGGGTCAGGAGAAAAGTCTTCTCTATCTCTTGCCCACTGTAGTGCAGGAGTGTGTGTGTGTGTGTGTGTGTGTGTGTGTGTGTGTGTGCACGCGCACGCGCACACACACGCACTCTTGTGTGATTGGAGACCACTTAACCGCTAGTCACTCTCTTCTTCATCCTGGGGAGAGGTGCCGTTTAAAGGTTCTGTCACACACTTTAAAGGATCCTGGACAATTTGGCAGGACCTTAGGTGGCAACCAGCGAACTGAGGGCGCGGCTGGAGTGAAAAAGGTTTGGATCTCAATGACAGGAGATGAAAAGTTGCAAAAGCTCTGTCTAAGCGTCTACTCTGGATCAACTTTCCAGGGTGTAGGTGATAAACAGCTAGCTCTTAGAACCTGTTCGCTGGGTGGTGCACCCACCTTCTGCCTCGTGCTTCTTTCCCATCCCCGCCCCAGCGTCCCTGTGCTCGCGGTGCCCGCACCTGTCCGGCGCGCACTCGGCCTGTGAACTCGGCCTATAAGGGGTGCTGGAGCAGCCGTACAGCCCCCGCCGCCGCCACTGTTGCTGCTGCCGCTGCCTCTGCCGCCGTTGCCGTCGCTGCCGCCGCCGGGCCGGCCCTGCCTGGCACATGCGCAGTGGTGACGCCGAGCCGGCGCCTTCAGTCTCCTCCTTCGCCGCCTCCCGGTTCCGCAGTCACTTCCTGCAGCTGTTTCCCTGTGGGTCCGGCTGGACTGACTTTTGACAGTCAGCCTTCAGCTGCGGCGGGGGCTTGGCCGGGGCCAGCCGGGAAAGTTGCGCGGAGGGAGACAGAGTTGAGTCAGGCCGAGCCGAGAGCGCGGGGCAGACGGCGGCGGGCGCCCGGGGTGGACGCGGCGCCCAGACTCCTGGCGCGGCCGGAGGGTTCCGGTAAGTGAGGGCGATCGCGAGTCTCGGGGCATGTAGGACAAGCCGGGGATCGAAGGCGACTAGCGGTTCCTATCGGGTGCGGGCTTTCCACCTGCCCTCCACGTGACAGGCTTGCGCTGCTTTTATTTATACGTTTGTTTTTGAGCTTTTCACGTGTACCATTCGGATCGTCTAGCGGTGCTGCTGCCTTGGCCCTCGCGTCCCCCCCGCCCGGTGGGAGACGGGGGGATTCCATCTTTCGTGATGGCATCCTTACGGGATTGAGGTGCGTGTGTGCCTGTGTGTGTGTGCGCTCGCGCTTGTGTGGATGCAGGCACACATTAGGAAGGTAAGGTATATGTGGGCGATGCTGAAGTGTCTGTAGCTTAGACTCAAATGTGTGAACGATTCCCCTGGATAGGAACCGTCGTAGCTGAGACTGGAAAACATTCTCCAGTTCACCAAGGCCTTTCTTCCTCAGATCCCTGCGTTCTTTTCAGTCTTCCTTACAGGACATACCTTGCTTCAGCTGATTATTTTTCCAATTTCTCTCTCTCTCATTCCTTCCCCATGCGTTCTGATGACCTCTGAATAATGCTCACCGTTTTCGCCTCGTTTCCAGAATTCCCAGTGACTGTACAGACTTCCCTAGTTTGCTGAGGTGTCAATAACCTGTTCCTTTACACTGTTGTCTTTCCTCTGTAGATTTCTCCAGATGAGAAAGTGGTTGTCTTTAATACAGTATGTGAAGAGTAGGCCCCAGTCCAATCGTGAAAACTATGCTCTGACCATCCGTTTTCTTTAAACAGGGTACACTATGAAGCTTTGACTTTCTTTATTATCTCCTCAAAACCCCTTCCAAACCAGGACCTTAACCATCATAAAGCCTTCATTTATGTCACTTCAAGCATCAAATTGAATGCTTTTTAAGATCTGAGGAATATTTTATTTACATCAGCCATCGAGTTAGTTTCTTTTCATCTACTGCAGTAGTTGAACAGATCTGAGTCGCCTTTGCTTTGAGTATCTCTCTATTCCACCATCCATGCTTTCTCTAAAGGCTTGGTTTTATTTCTTTTAGATTTATGCCAGTTTTTGTTTGCTAGCATAGTGAACAGATGTAGTTGTCATGCACAGAGCCTTTTTGGGAGTTATATTATCATTTTGATTGTTGAATATTACAGGAAATAATTTTGGAATATCTAGCTATTTTTAAAAAATTGTAAAGGTGAAATGTGATAATGGGTATGTCTGTACTTGGCAAGAGTTTTTTTTTAGGAATGCAGGGGATTTTATCAATTCTGGAGGGGGTCTCTTGTACCTCTGGGCTTTGAGACTGTCCTTTGTTTTGATGGAAACCTGTAGGCAACATTGGGGGAGATGCGTGCTGGAATTTCCTCAAGTGGGAGTGAGCTTTCATAAAACAAGTCCAGACATGTCTAGGCAATCGGTAGTATTTGATTTTGTTTATATTGTTGATTTCCTTTATCCCGATATTTCAACACCCTCCTCCATTTTCCGTTCTGAACTGGCAGCTTGTCTGTGGCAGTTTGATATCAGTATGTCTCTGTACAGGTGGTTTGTGTAGTCTTCTAATATTGTGAATTATTATAATTAGGTAGTTAACTTTTTGAATCCATGGTTTTTGTTTCCTTAGTTTTTCTTTTTAAAATGTCCATGCCTGTCTTTGCATGATTTAATTGAGAGGAATAATATGATTACAGAGAATCTTTTTAAAGGTCCTAAATCTGCATTGCTTTCCTTTATGTTCCCAGAGATATGGATAGCATACTTCTGATTAAGAATAAAAAATATTGTTCTTTTAAGTATTATGAATGAGAAGTACTGTTGAATATTATGACTAATTTTTGTACTTTGTCTTTAACTACATTATTTTCCCATTGCACTGATACCTCTGCTGCTCCCAGACCCTGAATTTAGTATAAAAGTTGTTACTTGATTGCAATTTCCATGTGTATACTTATTAAATGTGGTAAAAGAGATTTTTAACTTTTTAAAATTTTGGTTAATTTTGGTAAATGTATTATTGTCAAAAAATATACACATTTCTCTTACAGATAGAAAATTTCAGCCATTTAAAATAGCCATATTTTATTCACCAAGGAAAGAGGTTTTAATAGTACTGAGAGAGTGGAAGGAATTGTGTATTTTGGAATTGGGATTTTAATTTGAGTTAATTAGAATCATGGAAACTCAGAACATGTACTGTGGTTCATTTTGAGATACTCAGGGCTAGAAAGCACCATCTGGGTGGGAGGCAGGAGAAATCATGTATAAAATCAAAGAGGTATTGGAACATATTGGATCTTTTCTGAGCAAAACAGAATAATCAGTTACTTAATAAAAAGGGAAAAGGAAATTGCTGAAAGACTGAGGAACTAGAATTAAATGGGGGCTTCTGACAGTGTGAACCATTACCTCAGAGGACATTTACTTGATACATTGTTTTATGCAGGTAATTTATGGCTAGAGGGAGAGAAGATATTCTGATTTTATAGGGGATTCATGAATATAGTTTAAGACCATCTGAGGTGGGGTCCTAAGCTCAACAGCCTACAGGGAGCAGTTAAGTAACACAAATATAGTACACTAAGCTGGAAGGAGATGGCCTGGACCTGGAGAAGACAGACCTGGCTACTGGGGACATTGCCTCTCCATTCTAATTAATTGTCCATGTAGGACCATGTGTCAGATGTTGCCAGATCATCCTTTTATCAGGAGAAGCCATGAATCTCTTGATTTTAAAATGTTGATGACTAATTCAATTTAAAAAGTGAAAGCAAAACACTACATTATATGTTCCAAACAGAGCACATCTGAGGCTGCCTGCGGCCTCTGCTATGAAGAATCATTCATTGGCTTCCCTCTTTAAATATTACTGGTTGATGGGAAGGAACTCTTTTATTTATTTATTTTTTTACACAGTAACTGAGTTCCTTAATATTTTAGCTAGCTCTAGAAGTGTTTTAAGGGTTCTGAGACACGGAAGTCTTTATTTTGCTGTTTTTGATTCCTCTAGATGGAAAGACCAATTTGGATGAAAAGGAGACATTTGCTGAGGTCCTTTGCCACTGGTGTTTTTGTGCTTAGTAATCATCAAGAGTAGTTGAGTGTCAGTGTGCCTGAGGGAAGGGGTCTGGACTAGGTGACCTTTGATGTCCATTTCAGCCATGTGACTTTTAGATTTAATTAGCCATGGATGCAATGCTATTAATGTCCGTGGGCCAGAGGGACCGCAGTTGGAGCTGGGCCAAGCAAAATAAAGTGAAATCTATAAGGCTGTTCTCCGTGGAAGAGTGTAGTGTCAGTGTGGATTAACAGATAGGGGAAGTCTGTTAGATGAAGCAAAAAGAAATCCCAAAGGTGGTTTGGAGAAGTGGAGGAAGGGGTCAGATGGTGTGGTCATTTACATGTTGTATTGCTGAGGTCGCATTGTTAAGTGGGCTTTTTTTTTTTTTTTTTTGCTGTTGATAAAGATTTGAAGATTTGAGTTCTCATCGCCCATCGGATTATGCCCAAGACTTTCCTACCCAATGATCCTCTTGCAACACGCCAGCCTTCCTCTGCCTAAGCGGCCCTCATCCTCTCCTCCTATGTCAGTGGCTGCCCGGTCTGCAGGAACTTTGCAGCTTCCGCCACAGAAGCCTTTTGGGCAGGAGGCTTCCTTGCCTCTGGCTGGGGAAGTAGAGTTACCGAAGGGAGGGGAGCAAGACTCTGCCCTGGAGGAGCTATGTAAGCCCCTGTACTGCAAACTCTGCAATGTCACCTTGAACTCTGCGCAGCAAGCCCAGGCTCATTATCAGGTAAGGGGAGAATGGAAGGCCAGGCATTTGGTGAGAGAACCTTTTAGGGCTTTGCCCATTTCAAAGTCTTTTCTCCAGATATGACCAGTTGTGCCTGGAATAATCACGATGGCTTAGTGAACGACTAGACATTAATTTGTTTGATTACAAGCATAATGTTCCCTACATTAAAAGAACACATCACTTTTCACAGAATGAGACGTCAACCTAACTGTGTGGCTTTTGATATCTTGCTAGTCATTGCATGCTAATGTATATCATCTATGCTTGTGTACAAACCTGTGATCCTAAGGTGAATAGTTTTTGAGACATGATGTACCAAACTCAATTCAGACTGTTTAGGAGAATTAGCCTAATGAATATTGTCTTCCAGCTAATACAGTTTACATCGGTTCGAGGTAATCTATGAATGTTATGCTTTTTCTCTTTGACCTCTGACTCTTCTTACATAACCTGTCACTGCTAAAGAAAACACAGGTATTTTTCTGTGGCTGGAATAAAATGACATTGGAATATTGAACCTTACCCTTCATAGGAAACATACTCTGAACTGATGATCGTTTCTGAGATTTAAAGCTCTCACCTCCATGTAGAGTATCTAGTTGAAAGGACAATTTTAAAGGGGTTATTACCTAAGAACAAAGAGAAAGCTAACCTTTGTCTAGAAAGAGAGAGTGCAGTATTTCTTTTTATTCTAGATTGCTATCCGTATACAATTATATAATTTCCTTTTTTTGGAGAAAGGAGACCCGAGAAGCAATTGAGGCCAAATGCCACTGAATGAAAGGATGTCTTCTGGGTCAGCACTGATTTGACTCTTTATTCTCTGCATGAATAGCCACAATCATAAGACATATGGTAGAGAGATGACTTAGACAGGTATTTCTTCTATCGCGAGGCTCTGTCTGTAATGTAAAGTTGTTATTTACTCTAGGTGAAAATCTTTTTCTGTTTTGTTTGGATCCTAAAGACTGATGATTGTGTCACTTTGTGATTATACCTCAGAAATATTTTGAGGGTGTATTGTTTTCTCTAGGATTGAGGGGAAGACAGAATGTGTCGCTTCCCTGGAGTTGCCTTTGTTTGGGTTTGTTTTGCCCTCAGGTGTAGCGCATTGAGTTAATTATATCTCAGATTCTGGCATTTGTCCTCAGTGGTGCATAAAGGCATCTTCTGGTTTTATTTTTACATTTCCCCCCTCCTTCAACCTCACTCTCATTTCCTCTGTGTATCACTCTCCAAACCATAGTGGTTTGATATGGGTCTTCCTTTGCCTATTTTGCCATTTGAGGGGAGTTCTATTAGGATGCTGCTTCTCAAACCCAAGACACAGTGCTAGCTTTCCTCTTCATATGTTCCTGTGACATATTCAGTGTTACAGCCTTAAGACCCCCTTTGAAAAAATCAAGCTTGAGATCTAAAGTTTTGGGTTTTAGCTGTATAAAGCCCCTTGTAAGTCATTAACTTGAGAGAAAACCCACCTTTGTGCCCTTTAAAGAAGAGTTGTTTACTTTTATGAGGTAAAACTCTTGGGCAATATGTAATTTTAATATATGTGTATGGGTTATATCTGTATCTCCTGCCTTTTTTTCCTCCTAATATCACTTTGTGTCTCCATAGACAGTGATGGATGCTTCTGGTTATGCATAGAGAGGATTCAGTTTGAGCAGGGTCATTGGATTATAAAGCTTAAACTAGATAAGAAACAGGATCTGCATTTTTTTTCTTTTGATTCTGTGTTTTCATGCGTGTGTGTGTGTGTGTGTGTGTCTCAGTAATCAGATTTTTAAGTGGAAAAGTTGGAGGAGAAGGGCAGCCTGTCATAGTGGATAATGTAAGCAGCCAAAAGCTTGGGTAAAGATAAAGAAGAAGATAGTTGGTATTAAGAAAGTAGAACCTGATGGAAAATTAAAAGTTTCATTTTTTTTCCTAAGAGTTTGTTTCTAAGAGCTTAGAAGCAAAGATTTGAATGAAGTCAATGTTATTCTTAAAGAGGGAGGGTTTTTTTTTTTTTAAGATTTTATTTATTTATTTGACAGAGAGAAATCAGAAGTAGGCAGAGAGAGAGAGGGGGAAGCAGGCTTCCGCTGAGTGGAGAGCCTGAAGTGGGGCTCAAACCCAGGACCCTGAGATCATGACCTGAGCCAAAGACAGAGGCTTAAACCACTGAGCCACCCAGGCACCCCTGTTTTTGTTTTTTTCTTTACAGAGAAACAGGCCAAAGGAGTTAGTATATGAAAATATGGAGCAATTTCATTAGGATAGTATTAAAAAAAGTTAACTTTAGAAGTAAAATCTAGATTTCAGCAAAAATGATATGGTCAAGATGACAGAGTATGGATCAAAGAGTAGATCAGAATAATAAACAATTAGAGCATGAACATTAATTAGAGGTGGGGGAAACCACTATAGAGGGGAAACATAGAAATATCTACCTGAAGGATGCATCAAAGTCTCCGTACATGGTACAGAAATAGGCGGTGATTTTTAAAAAGGCTACTAAAGACAGGGGTAGGACCAGCGAGTAAGGCTTACCAAAAACCAGGATTAGGCAGATTGACAATGATTCTAAGTAGACTAATACAACAAAGTGGTAGATGAGATGATGGAAAGTTTTATTTCTGAAAACCTGCTTTATCATTTTTAATATAGAGTGATACTAAGACTGAAAATTCACTATTTCAGTTATGTGTGAGATAAAAGGGGTCAGTGGTAGACTGTTTATAAGCTGGATACACATTTGTGTAAAGTAATAAATCACTGTGATTACATTTCTCCAAACAGTTGAGTCAGTTGGTGCCATTGTTGAAATCGCAAAGTTTCAAATTGCCCATGTGTTGTTAACCAACCTTCACTCTGGTGTGAGTGGTGTTACACTAGAGTGTAACTGTATCATATTCCAGAAATCCAGGACATACAATGGAAGCTGCTTGATAAACACTTCCTTTAAGCTCACTCTGACATCCCACTTTTCCTGAGTTGGGGCTGCCTTAGCAATGAAGCATGTGTATCTGTGATCAACACAGATTTAGTTTTATTCCCAGGACTTGTCACCCAGTCAGTCTGCTTCAGAATACCCTGCATTGTTGTTTTATTTTTAATGATATTGCATATTTTTACAGTCTCAAATTTATGGATTTAGTTATATCTTAAAATAAAAGCTTTGAAAGAAAAAAACATGCCTTCATTTTATTAAAATCTGTCTGCAGGCTTCAGGTTACTTAGGGCAAGCCTGGCATGGAGTAACACAACACTGTGTTAACAGCATACATGCCCAGAGGAAGAACTACTTTGGGTGGAAGGTTGTTAACAGAAATAAAACAAACAAAAAGATGGATAAATTTTGCTAGGGCGTCCACAGTGTAAAATAATGTCAACCCATGTATCTGCTAATTTGCATGTCCGTTTGAAAAATAACTACTCAGATACTCAAAGTACATTTCTAAAGTTTGTCATAAATATAGGTTTCTGTTTGTAATATTTAGCAGCCGAATAGTAATGTGCCATATTAATTAGATTAATTTGAAAGTGAGACAGAATGCAGGTTAAAAAAAAGTAGTTTTAGAGTTATGAGAATGCAGTTGATGTTATCCCAAAATTTAGAATACTGATTTTAGCACTTATATTTTAACATTGGTCACATTGGTAACATTGGTTTGGATGGCATGATTAGCAACTCTAATCTCAGCTAATTTTATGTTTTCAAAATTCTCCCACCTGGTTATTTTCCAAATGAACTTGCAATGGACTGAGCATAGTCAAATGGCACTTCATTAGGGGACAGAAGTTTTCCTTGATACTGCTGAAGGTTGTGTCTCACCAGCTCTCTGCCTTCCCATCCCAGTACCGCTACCTCATTTCTTCTTCCAAAGAGTACATATCTCTTCTGACAGGCTGATTCCTCACCCTAGCTCTGGTTTTCATCACCTGTCATCACTTCTTTACCTCAATCAAATTAAAAACCTGCTCATGTTTTTCTTTGTAAATAAAAATAGCAACAACAGCCTTTTCTTTGCTTTTAATCCCTCTGGTTGGCAACTTTTCTCCTCTCCTTAGAGTTCTGACAGGTATAATTGTCCTCTCCTGGTCTTCATGTCCCATCTGTTCCCCAGCCCACCCCTGCATTCTGGTTTCATTCCAATATTCTACTGGAAGGGTCCTCTCCATGGTCACTTGTGACCTTACCGGGCAAATCTAGCTTTTTCTCACTTGACCTTTTGTAACATTTGCCACTGGTAGCAGTTCCTCAAAACATTTAATGAAATTTTAACTCAAAACAACACCTGGGGAACAAAGGCCATATAATGAAAAGCAGTAATCACCTGTGCTCCATTCCACCTCCATCCCCATCTTTTCTTCTCCATTCTCTCTTCCACTTCTCATCTTGCCTTGGCTATAGTTTTACTTTGACACTGTTAAGGTTGATTGGATTTTTGTTTATTCAATAATAAATTAAGTTTACCATGCTCTATTTGTAGGTTGATTCTAATTGTTGGAAATTGACATTCAGCATTTGCATTGCTATAACTAGGGAAATATTATTCTTTGAAGAGGTGTTTTCTTCTCTGTGTTTCCAAAGTCACGATCCCATGATACTCAAGAGGAATGTTCAAATGGATGACCCTTTCTTGAGTGCCACCAGTTACTCAAAATCATGTCCTTTGTAGTTTGTGTCATATGTGGGTTGTAACTTAAAAATAACCTTTTGTTTTTCTTGAGTTTCTGAAACTTTAAAAAGAGGGAGAAGAATCTTATGCTTTTGTAAAAAACAACTACTAACTTCTTAATCATTCTTTTAATTGCTTACAATCCTTTTCATTAATCTTCATTAAACCCACGGGATTTCCTGTTCTAATTTGGATTAGTTGTTTCATAACTGGATCTTGACTTTATTGTGTAGCTTATTGTATATCCTAGAGTTTTTATTTGCTTTTCTTCTTTTTCCTTCTTTCTCTCCCATAATGTATCTTTATCATAACCCCATTTCCCTCTCCAAACTC